CGAAAGTCGGTCATGTTACTGCAGGTTATTTAAGTCATATAGTGTTAACTATCTAGAGCACATTCTGAGATAAAATCTTACTGTTTTTTACTAGGATAATATCTTACTGTTTTTTTAATTTTCGCGTTTACAAACATATATTTTCGAAAATATTGTGAAGTTTGACTGTTTCGCTCTGCATCGTCTCCCGGATCACGTGGGATGCTCCGCTTCATTTTCGCACGTACTTTCACCATGCAAAAGAATTTTTCATTCGATGGAGATAGAAAGAAGTCCATATAGGGTTTTACAATTGGCCCAATACTGGGCCAATACTGGTTGTCGGAGTTCCAATACTGGCGCAGCACTGGAAAAACTATTGGCACAGTACTAGTGGATAACCGGATGATAACTTCGGTCCAGTACTGACTCAACCTAGGTTAGCCAATAATTCCCCAGCATTGACAGTACAATCGGTTCAGTACTTAGACAGTACTGGTTGTCATATTTGTAATACCACCACAGTACTGTCTTTACAGAAATATTATATTAAGAAATACTGAAAAATTATTAATGATTAAGTACTACCAATTTAGTAATTTTTTGGCCGTTTATTTTTTAGTAAATACTGATAATAAAATCACTGTTAAATATTGATCAAATATTGAAAATTATTGTGTAAAGGTGAAAAATGAGAAAATAATAATATTATACAAAAATATATATAATTTTATAAAAAATATATATAATATTTATAATTTTTTATTTTCTCATGTCTCATAAACCACTAGGAACTATAGATTGTTAACAACACGCTCCAAACTTTCGCGAATTCTCCCTCAATAATTTCGATCTTAACCGGTAATACCGGTCACCCATCTATGTCCTGACTGCGTTGAAGTGTTGCTTACCCTGACAATCGAGCGGCTGACGATTCCAATGACTCCAACGATGTTCTTACGATTTATGCTTATATAATTTATTCTTATGGTGTTCACAGTATATTATAACATACTTAGTAAAACCATACCTAGCAAACACCAAATAACAGTAATATAACTTTTATTTAGTGTTTGTTGCACAATTTATTAATAGATATTGAAACAATGCAACAATATTTGATATGCAATGGATATTGATATAATATAGTGAAGCAATGATAATTACTTTTAGATTTTTGACAGAATGTTTTAATAATTAATCCAAACAAAAAAATAAAAAGATCCAAGAAAATCCAAATCAAATAAATCGAATTATTAAATTTTGAAAGAAACTTTTAAAAAATACTATTTAAAACAATAGTGTTGTTTCATCAAATGACATGGTTTCCTTGAACGAAATAAAAGTTTTTTATTTTCATCATTTTAAAAAATAATATTTCGTTTAAGAATATAATATTTTAATGAAACAAATCAACACTGAACAAGTACGAATATTAAATTTAAAGAAACTTTTTCTCCGAAAAAAAACGGTATAAGAAGTATAAGACATGTGTAATAAAACGAATTCTAGCCAAAAAAATAATTAATGACTGCCACTAACAAGTACTATTCTAAGTACTATTCTATTTGCCAGTAATGACTAAATACTGGCTAACAGAGGTCCGGCCGACGATTGGGTGCCATACGTTGGCCAAGCATTGGTTGCCGAAGGCCTTCGGCAGCCAGTCATTTGCCTGTATTGGGCCAGTACTGGCTGACAGAATTCTGATCGATAGTTGAGTGCCATAGCTTCGGCCAAGCGTTGACTTCGTTGTTACTACTGGCGACCCTACATGGGAGTCTTTGCAAAAAGATTTGATGTCGTGATAGTAACTGTTCTTTATCGTTTTCGTTTCATATTGAGATATGCTCCACTTCATTTTCGCACGTACTTTCACCACGCAAAAGAGTTTTCATTCGACGGAGGTAGAAATAAGTAAACTTTGCAGAAGGATTCAATATCGTGATAGTAACTGTTCTTTATCGTTTTCGTGTTTATATTCGTTTTCATATTGATGGATGCTCTGCTTCATTTTTGCACGTACTTTCACCATGCAAAATGGTTTTTAATTTTGTCGAATCAGCACGAGACAATAATTTTGCAAAGGTATTTGGTACACGTCAACGACATTTCCCAACAAATTTTACTTTGTGTTGACTTGACCAAATTAAAAATGCTTTTGTTTTAATAAAAGTACATGCATAAATAAAATAGGACATTCCTGCCTCAAGAATGAAAACGATGTGGAACTAATGTTATCGTGATTTCATTTTTAAAAAATTACAGCATACTCACTGCTCCAATTTATATAATAAAATTAGGTGCGAAAATAAAGTTTTAGTTGGTTAGTGCGAAATGAAAATGATATCTCAAATTACCGTTGCTAATTATATTGAAAACTCAAATAATAGGTAATTTATTTTTCAAAAAATTTTTCGCAAACTTCGTTTGCGCCTACAACACTCTTCTTTAAAAACTCTTTATTTGATGCAACCAATACATAAGCGGTTTGAAGAATTCATCAGAAAAGTAACAAGAGCCTATTTTGGAGAGAATGCTGAATATTAGCAACGTGACATTCACATTTACGTAACGTCTATGTGTAAGAAAATTGAAATGACAACGTAGTACACATACTTGCATAACATCTGTGAAAAAATGATAGCGGCATCATATTAGCGCCTATTTGATCATCTTTATTCTATAAATAGCTATAGATGCGTTCGGGGAGCTCGCTATTAAGCGGATGGCACATAAAAAAACTTAAGCAGTAAGACGTAAGCAGTAAGCGAATCACAGTCGACGATTTTCCTTACGGTCCAAGAATCAACGACTGTGATTGGCCAATTCGCTTACTGCTTAAGTTTTTCTGTGCCATGGCCTTTAGCGCTATTCAGCGCTACCGTATCTTTCTATCCTTATTGTTTATCTAAGGAGCAACAAAGATAGAAGAACGCGATAGCGTTGGTAGCGTACCCCGAACGCATCCTATGTGTACATAAATTCGATATCGTCGGTAAATGAGAATAACGTTTTCTACTTTTTGATGATCACTCTACGTTATCGACGCTCATCAAGTTCATCGCTCGCTCCGGCATTCCTTTAATGTAAAATTTTGCATTTTTGAACTTTGAGATAGAATAACTCAACTCACAGAGCATTTAAGGCAAAAATAAAAACATTTTTTGTACGTCTTATGTAATTAGCCCATGATGAATCAATTAAGCCTACTTAGATCTAGTCCCACAACCTCCAGTTAATTTAACTGGCTGGTTATTCCACTGGACTTGACCAATCGCATTTGATATTAAGAAGAGTTAATCAGAATTAACTAATCACTATTGGAATTTAACCGGTTAAAATTAAACGGATGTTGTGGAACTTGGCCTTAGAACTCGATTCGATCAGCCGTTATGGCGGTACGATTATCTGGCCACCTCTCAACTAGAGGCGCGGCGTAATAATACACCATCATTCTCACTGCCAGTGGCTCGCTTCGTGCGTGCACTTGACGCGAGACATTACCGTGTTTCTTAATACATATAATGTGTAGTGAAATTATTAAATTATGGAACATATACGACTCATGTGGCATGATGGAAAATCACCGAAAAAAGGGTTAAGCGACAGTTTCCCGAAAAATGGAGAGGATAATGTTGGTATCAAGGAAAATCTCTACACGATATAATTTAAAGATCTGTTCTTTGTAACTGCACATTGCTGAATTAATGCAAAAAGTTAGAGTGAGAAAACGTATACTCGTCTCGCTTCAATTTATTGCATCAGTTCAGCAATGCTACAAGTTACAAAGAACAGATCTTTAAATTATATCGTGTAGAGATTTTCCTTGGTATCAATATTATCTCCTCTACTTTTCGAGAAACTGTCGCCTAACCGAAAAAAGAAGTGACATGGAACATAATAATATGATTGAAAACTTCAATAACATAGTATACAGTACAAAAAAAAAACATAGTATACAGTACAAAAAAATTGAGCAAAAATATCCTGAAAAGAAAGAAAACAATTACGGTGGAGCCTTTGGTTAAAAAATGATTTATTCCCGATTCACAAATATCTAGATTTAAAATGAGATTTTGGGAAGATCTTTAAAATCACTTTTTCATATGCCTTTCATAACAGTAAGATAATATTAAGTTAATCAGCAAATTAATCAGTAGATTCTTATCGTGATAAGACCGAGTTAGGTGTGACGAAAAAACGATACTTGAATACACTAACAGTGAAACGTGGAATTAATTACTCGTCAAAAGTTATGTGATACAGCGTAGTAAAATATGTAGTTTTGATATATGTTAACTGCAATTTATATAAAATTGTATATATAGCAGAGGCTCATATTAGATATTCGTAGGCAGAAAAGGTGTGCTTTGCGACATCTGGTCGCAGCCACGTGCACTATTGGGTGCTCGGGTTATTTGAAGGCAATGTATCTTCGGGCAAGAACGTGCGATCTCTCTTTTATCGGTACATCGTTTGATGTGCCGCACAAAAAGGAACGCATGTGCAATTCGTACTATCTGTATTATCTATTTAAGGTATGCGCGAATCTTATCGATTGGGCGAAGATTAGAATGTAAACGATATGAATGCAGTATCGACACAAAAAAAGTGACTTTTCTTCATGAAAAATCGTTATTAAGGCCTTCACACACACTTTCCGTAACAGTAACCGTAAGACGTAACGTAAGAATTGACCAATTACGATGGAGTATTCACAAAAATGGCGACCTTATGTTTCGACGATTCTCAACGTGATTGGTCAATTCTTACGTTACGTCTTACGGTTACTGTTACGGAAAGTGTATGTGAAGGCCTTTATATGTAATAATAACGGACATACTTCTGTGTGTGTGTGTGTGTGTGTGTGTGTGTGTGTGTGTGTGTGTGTGTGTGTGTGTGTGTGTGTGTGTGTGTGTGTGTGTGTGTCATATATTATATACATATCTTTTTTTTAGAAAATAGAAACATATTTATATATTTAATTAAACGGATAAAGTATGTTCCTTGTATAATTATAATTTATATTATATGTATATATAATTATATGTATATATTTGTAATATTGAATAATATATAATTATAATTATATTATAATTATAATTAATCGAACATCACGTTGTGTGCGTCCAAAATTGTGCGATTGTCTTAAATGCTTAAGCAAATTTTATTTATTGTAGACGTAACTCTCAGCACCGCCGCGTCCAAAACCTGCAATCATAATAATTATCTTTATCGTACGAATATTCTCTTTGTGAATGGGAAGCGCTGCGACCTGAATTTTGAAAGGAGAAAAGACAAAGAGAACATATCACGTGCAATGAAACGTGCGTACAAGCGAATAGATATCACACAAAGAGAAGCATGCATTAATTGAATATATATTAAATGCGGACAGACGGTGCTCCGCGGAGGTTCCTGAATACGAAACGGTTTTAGGAGAAACGAGGCGCAGCGCTCAACTCGACGAAGATTCCCATTTACCTCCTGGACCGAACAGGGCTGAATAGCAAGGGTGGTTGCAGTAAGGTTTCCCTTCGTGTTCGGCATGACTCCCGGGTGTTAAGGTCTTATTGCATTTCTCGCAGCGTAAACACGAACCGTGCCAATCTTTGCCTAAGGATGTTTTCCTCTCGGCTGCAACACAAGATGAATGTTAACGCGCGCGCCGCGCTGACGTAAAAGGCGGTTCACCGCGGCGCGTGCGGCGAAACTAGTCGGCGCTTTGCACGTTAAATTTTATGGTCCTACAGTAATTCGCGTATCACATCTCGTGCTTGCGTCCGCCGGTACGAGTGTGATCTGTGAGGGAGGTAGAAGTTAGCGGGCGCGCATGTTAATTGGAAAGAATCGTGAATGGACTTGGTGGTGGAGCTTGAAATAAAATAAGGCTTTTTTATCGCTGAACCAGTATACACACTTATGGAACTTAAATAGAAACACGTATATTGAAATATACAGTCGAGACTTGGTGGAGGAAAGGAGACAAGAGGACTAACGCAAGTTCACTGCAAATGCGTTGTTCTGAAATGCACAAGCGTGGTTAAAGTTCTTTTTAACGTTCCTTGCGGCTTTAAATCATATCATTTAACACGTTTAAGATGTGTAAATTATTATATTATATTATTATATTTTATATTGTATACTATATAACATATAATATTATATATATATATATATATATATATATATATATATATATATATATATATATATTAATAAGTATATTATATATAATTATATAATTTTTTAATACATTTAAACATGTTAAATATTTAGTGACGGTGAAAACGGTAAGAAACGTGTAAAAAAAATTCAGCGCCAAAATGGCACGTTTGGATTTGTAATGTTAACGCACAGCCAGTTCAGCAACAGAAAACAAATCTAGTCAGATTTGGAAAGACAGGAAAATGTGGTAAGAGCATTTTTAGTTCGAAAAAGATTGATTTTACTCAAGGATATTATAACACTCGGATATCACTTTCAGCGATTTGATCGAAACTGAAGAACAAGTCCCATGCGAGTTGAACGCGCCGAGTCGCGGGTGTGACGACCATTCCATTAGCAATTTCGTAATTAGAAAATCCAATGCCGCGATCCCAATGGATTCGATCGGTGTCTGACATTCATTAAAAGCGCGAACGCGAAACTTCTCCGGGTGTGTCGCATAAAAGACTCCGCGCCCATCGACAGATTTCGCGAACAAAGATTCTCACACCCTTATGGTGTATGGCTTTCGGTATACTTCGGCTCAGTTAATCCCCGGACGCATTTGCGGAAACTTGCATCAATATGCGCGTGCAAGAGGGACACAAGAAACGGGCGAAGAATCGTTTCGTACTTTTCGCAGTAATGAGAATCTCACAGCGCGCTCTAAAAGTTACAACTTTTTTGGAAAACTTTGCACTCTATATTTTTCAAGTCTAAATTTACTTCAAATTGTGGATTCCTATTGTGGTTTCCTCTTGAAAATAACAGCTCGCTATCTGTTTAAGCATAAGCAATTCGTTTACTTCGCATTGGTGGTCTTGAATACTCTTGAATACTCTAGATAAGATTAAGCACAATGACAAAAATAAATGTCTACTTGTGAGATACGCCGGCTGCTATCGACTATACGGCGAAACTATGCCGTGAGTACAGCGCAGTTTTCGCCCGCTTGTCGTATCATTGTACTTCCCGTTGGCCTTTCATTGCTTTTTAATACCATTATTCGAGACTATAGCTCGTACCTATCTGAGCGACTCGACAAAAAAACTCGTGAAGACCGCGACTATATATTCTTTTCCCTCCGTTGCGTCGCGGCGGCGCATCATGCCATTACGGCGTATCAAACCTCGTGGGGGAGACAAAAAAGGGAAGAAAGAAAGAAAAAAAGAGGAGGAAGGAAGAAAGAAAGGCAAGAACCACAGAGCGGGCTGGTGGTTGCATTCAAACGCTCCACCGTGTCTAAGAAGGAGCACAAAGAGAGCGGTAGCGCCAGTGAGGGAAATTGGAAAATGACGAGACGAGCGTGGTGGATGCATCGGGAAGGAAAGGGTGTATCGGCGAGAGTGAGATGCAGCAGGGGACGAAGAGATGCGCGACGCGCATAAGGGAAAGAGAGAGAGAGAGAGAGAGAGAGAGAGAGAGTGAGAGAGAGAGAGAGAGAGTAAGAATGAACTCGGTGTTTCGCGAATAAGAAGGGTACGCGTATAAAGGGCCATTAGTTAATTAACTCCTAATTATCTGACGACGGAGAAGCGAGTGCATAATCGTCAGCGGCGTTCGCCTCTGCGCACCGCGCCGGCAGCGCGCGAAAAGGCAGAGACAGTGCCGTTGCGCCCGGCTGCCAAACAATCGGCCGCAGTCGCTGATTGCATAGGCCTCGAAACATCATCCCCCTACCCTGCCGACCCCCTCGCTCGGCGTTGCTTGTTTTCTTCTTTTTCCTTCTTTTCTTTTTTCCTCCTCGTCGGCGGAGATCATCCCGCCGCGACGCCCCTCACCCACACCAAGCCATCCCGCTCCACTCACTTCTTTCAAACCACCACGTCTGCAGTCATCGCGTCTCCCCTCGTGGTCGCTGCCCCCTTAGCGCTCCGCAGAAAACCCCTCGATCCCGCAGCACGTTTTCTCCCTCTCTCTCTCTCTTGCGTGCGCTGTACCTCTCTTCTTCACCCGCTGCGGGGGCGGCGGGAAACGACCGTCTGCCCGCTCCTCTCTTCCCGTCTTCTCGCGGTCTTCTCCTCCCTCTACCTTTCCGTACTACCACGAGACCTGGCCATTCTTCTGCAAACCTGTTTCGCGTCTGTGTTCTTCTTATTAGTACCCCGCGCGATACACCGGCTACGTCTGTCCTTTGTTGTCGTCCTCGCGGCCGGACACATTAAGCCTGTTCTTTGCAGCTGCACTGCTGAACTAGTGCAATAAGTTAGAGTGAGAAAACGTATATTTGTCTCACTTCAATATATTGCACCAGTTCAATATATTGCACCAGTTCAATATATTGCAGCAGTGCAGCCACAAAGAACAGGCCTTTTATTGTTGTTGCACTAGGCGCAACGTGATTTCGCCCCGATGCGGTTTCCACCCCGCTTACCAACCTCCGCGCGTCCTCCGTCGCGATTATCCCCGATCCCTCTTTTTCTCTCTTCGTTTCTCCCCCCGAGGTGGCATACGCACTAATCTCGTCGACGGAACACGGCGATGTATATGTGTAGAATTAATACTGAGGGCAGCGCGTAATACTTACGAGTGCAGCGACTCGCATGTTTTTCGGGCCAATCATCCGGTACTCGCCTTTGACACGCGCGTTAAAAAAAAATAAAAAGTGTAGTCACCGCGCGCGCGCGAGCAAATATATACACGCGGATGCAACCTCGACGCTAAACACGCGCTAAAGAGTTCGGCTCGATGGGGCTCGCGCGTTTCCGAACATTTTACACGGAAAGGGAGTGTCTCCATTCTCCGAACCGTCGTTATGACATTCACCCTGTGCGCTTATTCGTGCCGCATCAAAAACACATAGCCAGCCCGATGGCATTAACGGGCTCTAAAAGAGCGCTCCGCGAAGCGAGAAAGGCTCAATTAAAAGCATACGTACGACTGAATGCGAAACTCGCGCACGCCTGCAATCCTTTCAGTCTTCGAGGCTTGATTTATTAACGGAATGAGAGAAGGAGAGACGATCTGTCTCCCTGTTTTCCTCTCGTTTTTCGTTCTACCGAGTGCGTGAATTTCAAAACTCCGACGCGATGGAAACGACGCCGCGTGAAAATGCGCGGTTATCTGTCCGCATTGTTTATCTACAACCGGACACAAGTCTGCCAACGCGCACCTGAAATACTTGCTCGACTTACTGACAGATAACGTTATCGTTCGCCAACTACTACATTACAATGTGAATTGCGACGCGTGTCTACCATACTAAGAGGCACTTTTAAAGAGGTTTCGAGGCCATTTCTTTATTTTTCGAGAAACGTCGTTCGATAACGGTCGGCCGGTTTTCCAAGTGCGAAACTGAAACGCAGTCCGCGCTGATAGAATAAAATGTCGCGAAAAGAACGACGTTTGTAGAACGGCGTCACGTCACTATATATATTTAATTTCATTGAAATCCACGACGGTCTGCTTCTCTCTCTCGCTCTCTCGCTCTCTCTCTCTTCTCTCTCTCTCTTTCGCGCGCGCAGGTGCGCTTCTGTTACGAGTGCAAATTGAGTTTATTCCGCAGAGCCTCAAGTGGATTACTCATTCACTCTGCTCGTAGTAAGCTTCGAACCTGTACACGGTGAAACGGACTGACATAATATTTGCCGTGATGGAACCCGAGGTCGTTCAATGATATCATTGATGTCGTCACCGCGGATTTACCAGTTCGAGTATATATTTATGTTCGTCTGAGAGATATCGATTCGCCTTTCGAACGACTCGAGGTCTACCACGAATTCGCGCACACAAAGAGGAAATCGCGAGAAGAGCGCTCCATCATGCTGATCGCTAACACAGGTGCTTACAAAGTGCCAAAGTATGAAATGTAAGAGTGTCACATATCAAAGTTACGCTGTCGCATGCTCGGCGAGATTATGTCGCATTTATCAAACGTAACACCCACCGTGTCTTCCGGGAGCATGAGACTGATAATGAGAATGCGTGTAGCTTCGTATAGTTATTGGACTCCGCGCGTTCTTGATCGTTCAAAGTTTTTCCAAACGCATGACGTAAGTGTCTTACGTAGCCGCGAAGCTCAATTATCGTATTGCGTTTTAACAATACGAGATATTCAATGGCCCTTCCCCCTGACCGCGCTCGACCGGAGCAATATAAATAACTCATCGCGTCAGCTCGAAGAAACATTTTCAACGAGTAAAATCACGTTACTCGCAGCGTTTCATACTTTTTATCACTTTATGAGTTGGCGAAAATGATGCAAGGAGCTTTAACACTGCAACTCCAAATGTGTTATTTTTAAATGCGTAAACGTATAATCCGGCTGAAGCTCTTTCTGCACGTTTGTTATCGTTTCGAGTCACGTTATTTAACACGTTTAAGACGTGTTAATCATGATTTAATACATTTGAACGTACTAAATGACGTGACTTAAAGAAGCGGCAAGAAGCGTGTGAAGGAAGATTCAGCCGAAGTAACAAACTTGGATCCGCGGCGAAAGTGCAGAAGTCATGCTCGCTCTGCGAATCAAGGTCTATTCGGCATAATTTCGACGGGTCCAGCAAGTTTCCGTGTCGCGGGCACGCCAAACAGCGACCTTTAATCGCGAAGATACGCGACGATTGATAAGACACGCGATTCGTTCATCGAAACGTAACATCGGAGCTCTCACAACAAATACTTATCCTTCCCATTCGCCGACGAATGTAACGTATTCGCAGTAATGATCGCCACTCTTACCGAAGTACACGGGCTTGTCGCACTTGGGGCAATTCGGCATCTCGCTATGGCGTGCTGCGGAACCGGCTCCTAAAGTCCGACGTGTAACTGACGGAAAGATGCTCTCGGCAGCGTGGTCAGACGCGTACTGGCCCTGGGAGAGCCCGGCAAGGTAACGCGACGCTCTCCAGTTGATTGAGCGTGTGAACGTGTGTTAAGGCTGCACGAGTACACGCCGAGTGGCCGACCGTGGCCGCGTGTGCTTGAGAGCACGCGGGGCAAATGTTACCTGCTTCGTCGTTATGCAACTCAGTGTGCGAACGAGCGCGTACCTGTGCCCGCGTGTACATATACAAGGTGTCCCGGGCACCTGGCGCCTGATCTCGTCTAAGGATTCGTCCAGGAATTCCACGAGGGATTTTCGGCCCGAGTGGAGCACTATCTATCCTGCATCACTGCGGCGTTCGTTCTAACCACTCATCGAGCAGGGCCCAACTGTGAACCCGCTGGAAAATTTACCAGCTTCTAGCTAGTAACTGGTCGGCAATTCCACTTACTGGCTGGTTTCCGGCCAAGTTTGATTTTCCGGCCAGTTTGGGCGACGCTTGCTTCATTTTTACACGCATAAGTGTGTAGAATTTGGCTGTACACTGAGAGAAAAATTATCTTAAAATCAACAAATATTTCCTTGGTGGGTGCCATTAACATATTTACTTAAATCTACATTCTCTTTACTTAAATCAAATATTGTTTACTTGATTTAAATAAACAATATTTGATTTAAGTAAAGAGAATGTAGATTTAAGTAAATATGTTAATGGCACCCACCAAGGAAATATTTGTTGATTTTAAGATAATTTTTCTCTCAGTGTAGCATGTTTCTTATCGCGCAAATCACGACGCATTTTGAAGCGTGTTACTTTAGTATTCTTAACTGTAAAAATAACACTTAGATTTGCAGTATACTTAGTTGCTGGTCGGCTTCTAACCACTCTTCTTGATCGATTTTTCAACAGACTTTTTTTATGCAAAGTTCTGTCAAACAGATCTTATTATTCTGCATTGTAAAATTTCACTATTATTAATATTATTTTAATATAAAAATAATGTGAAACTCGTTTTTCAGAAGGTAGAACGCAAGGAAATTTATTTATTATTAAGATGCTTGCACTTTTATTTTTTGACAGGAATAAGGCCATTAAGAGCTGATGCTGGATGTTTTGTGCAAATGTCTATGATACGTATTTTTCGCAGCTCAATGATGGAATCAATGCGCATGGGAAATAAGGGAGGTTTTTAGTAATTATAATAATTATAGAAAAATATTAGAAGATTTAGAATCGGTTTGTGGAAGATTGATTCATCGCGTACGTTGTAAAAGACCGAAAAATCATTTCGACACTACAAACATTATTATCTTCCCCATCATAGACATTTGCACAAAACATCCAGCATCGGCTCTTAATGACCTTATTCCTGTGGTAAAAAAAAAATTTAGGTGTTATTTATAGAGAGCCTTAATGATATTTATTTCTTTTATTTTTTATTATCATTCTTTCTTATCTAGTTTGTAATCAATAACTGACCAATATTTACCTGTCCAGTTTCTGAACAATTACGGTCTAATAAACCTCAGCTATTAAAAACTGGCTAGTTTCTAACTAGTGACCAGTTTATCTTGGAAATTCGTCTACTCGAGGAGCGGCGTGGAGAAATTCGTAGATAAGATAGCACAGAGAATCAGCGAGACACCCTGTAGGTGTATCAGATTTCCGACTGGTAACGGACGGGCTCGAAGTTGGCTTCGTTCGACGCATTCGTTACTTTCTTCGGACGCGTGTAGTAATCCCGTTAGCTATTGTGGACAAATTCGTGATCAAAACCGCGCGCGCGCGCTGGTTGGAGACACAGCGCGACGCGTTTGATAAGCATTCAGATCGATAGTCGGTTATGCACGAATAACGGAAGCGGTTCGCGTATCGAGTATGCGGAATGCAGGACGCGCGCTCCGAAGGTATTTACTCATAAAACTGCAACGCGATACCCACGAAATTAATTAATTATCGGAATTTAGGTCGGGGCTACGGCGCGCAGCGCCGCGCCGCGTCGCTCCGCGTAGCCAGAGGGCGATGCGGAAAATGCCGCTGTGAATTTTGGAATTTATTTTAACGGGATTACAAATATCTGCCCAGCAGTTCGCTACTGTGCGTAAAAATTTCAACGTTCGCTCGCAGTCTTTACTTTTCGTAATGTACACACAGAGAGAGAGAGCGCGCGCGCGCGCACTCGCTCGCTCGCACATTAATGCGCGAATATGCGAGATGTTTATCCGCTAATAGCAGCTATGTAAACAGCGAGCGTTTGAAAATCAGAGCCCGTATAATTACATGTCAATTAGATATTCGCGAGCTACGGAACACGCAAATTAACGCAATATTAAAGCAGAATCGTCTTGGAATAAAGAGCGCGACCACAACATCCTTCTTCCTTCAAGCTTCCGCTTGATAACGAGGGCGTTCGAAGCGGTTCGCGTTAATTACGTGAAGTCGTGCAACAGTAGTTCGCGAGCGCCGTGAAAAGAAAGTCCACGAGCCGATCGAACAGCAATAATAATGCTGATGATGAAAAGGATCGCGGAGGCCGCGATAAAGGAACGCGATCCGGACCACGTCGCGCTCATATTGGCGCTCGAGCGAGGCGAGTTCGACCTGGCGAGCAAGATCTTGGCGCGTGACAGCCAAAATAAGTACATTCATCCGGTAGGTCTGCTCCAAGTGACGGCCCTACATGTGGCCGCGTGGCAAGGAAAAATCGACCTGATGGATCAGCTTTACGCGAAGGGCGCCGACGTGAACGCCGCGGATAAGATCGGCAGGTGTGCCCTTTTTTACGCGGCGCACTGCGGCTACGTCGACGTAACCCAGTGGATCCTCGAGCGCGGAGGCGACATCCATGCCAAAGTCGGTATCAACTCGTGCGCTATGGATATCCACAATTCCACGCTGATGAGATCAAGCCTAGTCGGCAAAATGGTTCGTACCGTACGCGCGCATCCGTCGTGTTTTGTTAAAGGGGTAGTTTCTGCTTTAGACAGCCGAAAAAATAGGAGGCTTCTCGAATTTTTTCCAAAAAGATGAATAAAAATATCGATATATGAGGTTTTCACCGTTATTATTCATCATTATTTTAAATATAAAAAGTTCCTTTCATTAAAAGAAAACTGAAATTTCGTTGTCTTGATTTTTTGTGTTGAGTGCAGTATGCCTGGATGTTTCTAACTGATGGACGACATTACCGTCTGTGTAAGAATCTAAAACACACAACAAACTGGACAAGAAAATTTAAAAACTATATTTTTTGTTGGAAGATGAATCTTTGCTATATGCAGAAAGCTGAAACTTAACAAAATGACAGCACTTTGAGGTTGTAAGTCACAGTTTCCTTCTCTCTTTCTTTTTTATTTGATATCCCCGGAAAAATACTAACTTTGGAAACTTTTCAAAGCACTTAGGTTTATTCTTCAAATTAGTTTTTCAATTTTCCGCGATTCTATTTGTCTCATATTATACAGTTGCAATTCACCAGTTAAAGGCATCCGGCGACGCTGAACACAGCATAAAAAACCTGAATAGGATTTCAATCTTTTTAAAATAACTTTTTTGTATTTGAGATAATGATAAATAGTATAGTTAAAACCCTATATTGTTATTTTTACTAATTTTTTCAAAAGAAATTCGTAATATCTTCCCATTTCTCGGCTATTTAAAACCAGAACTTTCTCTTAAGAGAAGAGTGAAAGAAAAAAAAAATTAAAAAAGAATTAAAAAAGAGTTAACTTTCCTCAAGACAAATTACTACAGTGAAATAGGACGTAAATACATACGAACGCGTTCCATTTTTTCATGGTTTTAGTTGCCATCACCGACATGCTTGGAAAGAACAGCGTTGCACCAGGCGGTAAAGTACAATCATGCCGATGTTGTACACCTCCTGGTGCAAGCCGGCGCGGACGTGAACGCCAACGACGCACACTTTGTCACCCCGTTGCTCTTGGCGGGAAGTGGAGTGGACCGCGATAACGCTCAGGAGATGGCCAAATTTGTCAAAATTATTAAGATTCTGATGTCCAAGAAAGCGTTCGTGAACATTATTCATCCAGATACGGGTATTAGTCAGCCGATAATTATACAATGAACCAATAAAACGTGTTGACTCGCGGTTTACATGGACTCCTCATCTACATCGAAAAACTCGACAATGCGTTCGTTCTATCGCATCTCCATATTATCTCCCAATATTTCTCATCTGAGTCTAAGGGCGCATTCACACCTTGGCAGAAGCCAACCGAAACTCGCGCTGTTAGAAAAGTAGAAACTAGCAGACTATCATCTAACCACCAACACGAGTTCTGGTTGACTTCTGCTTTTCTGCCAAGGTGTGAATGTGTCCTAATTCGCACGTTCTCATCAGGAACCACGGCGCTACATCACGCAGCGGTGCTGGGGAGCGTGGAGGCGACGGAATTATTGTTGGCGAACGACGCGTGGCCAATGTTCAAGTGCAAAAGTTCCGGAAGTACGCCTCTTCACATCGCCGCGAGCAACGGGAGTACGGAGACACTTGTCGCCCTGCTCAAAGTGATACAGCCTCATGGCATCGATACACGTGATCAGGTCGGTCACGTCCGTCGTTTTTTTCTCTCCTCGGGAGTACACCCCGAGAACACTTCAATCACTTGTACGTTTCCTTCTGTTTTTTTCATTCAGCTCAATCGCACGGCTCTCCACCGAGCGTCCTATCAAGGTCATCGCGATTGCGTGCGAATCTTGATCAACCAAGGAGGTAACTTGGCCGCCATGACACAGACCGGTGTCACCGTCGCTGACGCGATATTCGCGCATATTCCGCGACCGTTGGCCTTTTTAACGGATATCTTGGACTCTTGCGTAAAAACGAGCAATAATTACACCTCAGAGAAATACGACAACGTAAGAATTCTTCCACCCGTCCCTCGGTTAAAAGTGCATTGCCCACATATCTCGAAAGTAATGAAAAGATTTTGAAAAAAATCGGCGATCAATTTATGTTACGTCTAAAAGTGCACGGAGAAATGTCCAGCAAATTTTCTGCTGATCTAGCAAAATCTCTTCGTTATTATATACACAAAAAGATTTGCTAAGAGTCACTATTTGCTGGATATAATTTGCTGAATCTACAAATTATTTTGCTATAAGAACCATGATGAATTTAATTGTTGCAGTTTTGCTCCGATAGCAAATAAATTTGCTAAGGATACATTATTTTGCATCAATAGCAAATTAACGTGATTCTTAGGACAAATACACTTAACAAATTTTTTCTATCCTGGCAACGAAACTATTTCTGCTCTGATAACGAATAATTTGTAAAATTAGTTACGTCAACAAAATTTTTCTAATGTCACTACGAATATGCAGTAGCAACGACGATTTTGCTAAAAGAGCAAAATTATTTTTTTCCGTGTGATAATCGCAAATTGCACATTGATTTAAAGTCTAAACTAAAAATTATTCTATCTCAAAGTGTACACTCAGCGAACGATGGCATTTAATAATGTTTTAATGATGCATCACGTCAATGACGTCAATGACGTCTGTAACATCTGTAACGTCATTAATATATCATTTGACGACATCCTGCTGCTTGGCAATACTTTAAACTGTGTTGTTATGAAGATATATGACGCTGTTGTCGTTAGCGAAGGAAGATAAAAAAATAATGATAAAGATTTCAAATTTCGTGTATATGTGCTTTAAGCATTCGAAATGATTTAAAAGTAATGGTTTCATTGTGGTTCAGAAATAAAAGCTTGAAAGCCAGGAATGATACAAAATAAAGTAAATAAACTAAGAAATGTGATGCTTAAGTATCTGATATATCCATCCGATACAGCTGAATAACAACGTATTTCTATTTTACCATCACATTTTTTAGTTTATTTACTTTATCTCTTATATATATCATTCCTGGCTTTCAGACTTTCATTTCTGAACCAGAATGAAACCATTACATAAGTCGTTTTGGATATCTAAAATACATGTACACAAAACTTGAGATTTTTTATTATTAAACTACAAACACGGACGTTCTCTTCGTTGTCCCTCCGCGTCCGTCGCGTCGCGATTTCGCGAAAGCTAACGAACGAAACGTGTTTCTGTTAAAGATTACCGTCGACTTCAGTATATTGGCTCCCAAGTACCAGATGCAAATAAAGGTGGTCAAGGCCATCATAGCTGCGAGTTCGAACATCGCGCAACTGGCGATATTGCAGCACCCGCTCGTGGAAACGTTTCTGAGACTGAAGTGGGCAAGATTGAGGACATTTTTTTTTATACTTGTGCTCGTGCACATCGTCTTCGTCACCTCGCTCTCGACCTACGGCCTGGTGATCGCGCAAAACTTGCACACTTACCAGCTACATCGACCATTCCTCGCGGTCAGCGCGGGCATTATTTTCATAAACACTATAATTCAAATATTGGTGGAACCCAGGTAAAAGTATACGCCCGAGCAAGAAAAAAAAGCTACCGGGTTTATTTTACACTGAGAGAAACAGTATCTCATAAATAATAGGTGTTTATTCGATGGGTACCCTTATAACACTTACTCTGATAATACTATTCATATAATACTTATACTGATATACATAGTTTTACACTGAAAACAAATATTTTTTTAATAGGAAAATATATTTTTTCTTCTAAAAATATATATATTTTTTATAAATATATATTTTCTTAATACTTTATATCTTCACATGAAGGCAATCGTTCATTCTATTTAAATAAAAAAATTTGGATTTAAAGAGACTGGAGAGTCAGATTGCCTGCTTGTTGAAAATCGTGCTTATTCTTTCATTATTATATTTTTTATGACAAACTAAATGAATATGCAAAAGTGTTATTTTGACGTGTATTTATACAACATATAAAGAGAAAAAAAATATAATTTTGATGATTAAATACTCAATATAAGTGTATGATACATGCAGTTAAAATATATTTTGTTTTTCTTTTCAAGGTCGTCATTTTACAGTAATATCTTGACTCTCGGTGATTCAATTAAGCTGAATTTTAGGTAAAAAATTTCCGTAAACTTGTGAAGCACTGACAAACTCGTGAAAATATTTAATTTTGAAATATTAATTTTTTTACTATAAAAGAATTGAAAATTTAATAATCCATTAAAATATTTGCAATTTTGTTAACTTTTACTTAATTTCTATTGTAATGATTCAAAAAATTATGAAAGAAACACGATTTTTAGGCAATTTGACTCTCCAGCCCCTTAAGTGAATATTTTATTAGTACCCACCGAATAAATATTTTTTATTTTCTATCTTTTTCTCTCTAAGTGTGCCAGATTTTCCGATTTTCCGCGAACTACACTCTGCGCATATTATAAACACTTTCAGGCATTACCTGAGGCAATACGAGACATGGCTATTTCTTGTATGCACCGCTCTATCGTTGGCGACGTCGATAGCGGATGAATGTGACTATAACAAACAAAAAAATCAGACGCAAGAGATGGAAGCGACGAAAGTACCAAAGATGCAAGAGGAAAGGATAGAGTGCCCGGAATGGCTATTGCATTGCTTAAGCATAACGATCTTATTGGGTTGGATACAAATGATGCTACTGATCGGTCGGTTCCCGATGTGCGGCTATTACGCGCTCATGTTCTCCGCAGTGCTGAAGAACATGCTGAAGGTCAGTCGTAAACACCGACGCGTCTAAGCACGATCCATCCAAGCATGAGCTACGATTTCATTTACTTTATGAAAGAAAGGCACTAGCACACTACCAACTAGCATCTCAAGCGGAATTTTCCAACGCGAGATTGATTCTCTATCGAGATTGTCGCGCGCGCAGGTCAATTCGCGAGAACGATTGAAGTGAACCAACGCGTAATTCACATGTCCTATCGCTGTACGATGTCAGGACGGATGATAACTCGCGTTTCCAATGACTACTCGCGACCGCAAGTATGACGAAGCCAAAGGAAAAAGAATCCCGACACTAAACGCTCATCGAAAACCTCACATTCGTCTATATTGCCAAAAATTATGTGTTTAATTCAACACATGCTCCAATTTTTTCACATGTCTCTTTAGTTTTTATGTTAATTTAACGCAAGGCAAATACGTTAAACAAACAACACGACTTATCTATAGATTTTGCATATTAAATATGTTACCAAGAATGTAAACGTATTTCATATAAATATATATTGTATTATTTTTACACTTGAAAATAATAGGAAAATGGCAAATACGAATTCAACGCAGAATAATCAAAGTAACACAACGATAATATGTTAAATTGACACACGGGTATGTTAGAAATTTAGCAGAAAAATTTCTGTATGGTCGATTTCGACACAAATTCAAAATGTTTGTTTTATCGCGTACGTTTCCTTATCCCTTCCACAGCGGACCACCCTCGCGATTGCAACGACGCACGTCGAACAAAGCTTTTTGTGCCTTTCCAGGTGTTCTTGGCATTTTGCTGCCTGATCGTTGGATTCGCGTTAAGCTTCATCGTTTTATTCAAGAACGACGACAAAAACAAAAACGACGAGAACGGCAAAGAGAACGAGTTTCGCAATTTATGGAGAGCCGTCGTGAGGACCGTGGTAATGATGATGGGTGAATACGAGTATGAGGACCTATTCCAGAAGAAGCATCTGCCGATCACAACCAGAATCGTGTTCTTTATCTTCACGATGCTCGTCAGTATCGTTCTAATAAATCTCATGATCGGCCTCGCGGTCAACGACATTCAAGCTATCGAGAGAGAGGTACGAATTATATACGAATAATAACTGTGTAAAAATATCCAAGGATGGAATTGCACTTTCCATCCTTGAGACCTCGCACTTTCTAGCGACTGATCGACGAAAAGTTATCGCGAGCTACGCATCGACGCGGATTCATTTGACCCTGTATTAACGTAGTCATCACTTGAAATTTGTTTCACGTGATACACTCAGATCTGAATTTAAAGTTGGACTTCAATTTTTTGCTCGAATCCTATAATATATGCAACATTGCATTTATAATCACGGTTTAGCTAAAGACTCACATCTATCTTTAAATGCAAGTCTGAGGACCATATTAACCTTTAAGCTGCCAGGAAAGCCACGTTGTGGCTCTTGAGTTTGAGTTAAAATACTATTATTTTAAATACTAAATGTATTAAACATATATGTGTATGTAGCCTAAGCAATGCGTGTCTTTCCGGTGCCCGCTTCGCGCTTGTTCGCGCTTATGTTGTCGAAACATATGCAATTGTAATGTTCCATTATGCACAACACCCTGCTTTGAAAATTATCATTTGAAAGAAATTTTATCATAATTACGGAAAAAAGCCAACATAAAAAAAATTATAAAATATATAAAAAAATATAAATGTTGAAAAATATAAAAAAAAATTAAAAATATAAAAAATATAAAAATTATAAAACAAGCAAAAAAGTAAAAATGCAGAAATTAAACATAAAAAAACCAAACACAAAATATTCTGCATGAATCTATACGTTTATATTTATTTATATTGTCAATATTGTGCTTAGGATTCGAAATTTCATAAGTCTATGCTCAGAATTGGAATCAGCGATACTAAATACATTATTTTTAAGAAAATAAAAATTTTTTATATTTGATCGTGCTTTCCTGCTGAGATAGCCGCTTTTGTGGCTCTGCACAAATTTCAAAATTCTGCGCTATGTGTATGTTACTTATACAGAAAAATTTGTGAGAAAAAAACCACTTTTTTAATGAAAAAATGCCGACAGCCTAAAGGTTAATAGTTGTTACTTGAAACTTGTTTCATGTGAGATACTTAGATTTTTATCCAAAGTTAGAGCCAAATTTTTCAGCTGAATTATGATATATATATGACATTATATCTTTAATCGCGATTCGACTTTCATCTAACTCTGAACTGAAATCTGAGTATCTCACTTGAGAGGGATTTCAAGTAGCGACTATTAATAGGGGCTAAGTGTCTCACCTGAAGCAAGTTTCAAGCAAAGACTACGGATCTTAGTTAGCCGAGATAATCAGTGTGAAAATTCATGTCACATTAGGGTCATACACGTCGACTACTGAAGCAGGCGGACTTCATTGCGCATTTGGAAAGGCTGACGTCACACCGAATCTTTCGTCGTAATTGCCTACGTCCTCGCTTAAAGATACACTCGAGCCGCGACATTCCCACAAAAATTACGCTGAGCTATCGCGAAAATTATTCTCATCACGTGAGTCACATAGAAGCACCCCGTGACATATCCTGCGAGCTAAAGGAAGCTTTATTCCTTTTGGCCACAAAGAACTGCTACAAAAATAAGTACGTATAATTCTTGTTTCGTTTATGACGATTGACGTAAAGTCTATACTTGTACATCAACAGTAATGAAAAACTGATTAATGGGAACAACGCTTAATGACATAATATTAATATAATGTCGCACGCTCTTTCTAGTTTTACAGGTGAGAAAAATGCAGAGGATGCTGACGCAAGAATGAGTACATTGTTGTCCAGTTTAGAAGAGCAGTTACGGAAATGGAAATCGCATTGCACCAACTCGACAAGGCGAAATGTATTGAAGTGGCGCCGCGTCAAGAAAATTATTAAACCAAGAGCGGTGTAATTATTATAAACTTTTATCAATTTTTAACACCCTCTGCCAAGCGACTCCGCAATTAATCCTCATTGTATTCAACGTTTATGTCAATTTCATTTTATTACGTATATATATCGCAATAATTTTTCTATAAATTGTTATTGAGATATATTTCGCGTTTTTCTGTCTAGTAAAAATTTATGAATATGAAGTGGTCCCTGAATCGAGATTTTGATTCTACATTAGTCCTGCAAATTCAATCGAATTTGAAGGATCTATGAAGAACATTATATAGACTATTTGTCTCACCTTGATGCTATAAATGTTCATACACTATCTCATAGAGACTAGAAGAAATATTTATTCAAGAATTGTTTAATATTCAATTATCTCATTTCCTGCATTCCCTCCCATATATTTCCTGCATTTAATCTTTATTCTTAATTTTTGCCATCAATGTGTTATTTATATAACTTAGAGCTGCAAATAGAGTATGTGAGATAAATGAATATTAAATGACCTAATAAAAATTAATGAGTAAATAAAGAAAGAAAGAATCTTTTTTATTTATGTGTGTTATTTATGTGTTATTTATATGTTATTTATGTGTTATTTATGTGTTATTTATGTATACAAGTCATGACTTGTAATACACATAATTTTAAAACTCTCAACGGAGCTGATAAGAGAGAAGCTGTCAAGGTAAAGATAACAGTAGTGTGTATCCAATAATATTGTTCACCGATAGAATCAATAGAATGAATAGAATTAATAGAAATTCAAATTTAAAGTCCATAGATTTTATATAATAACAACAGAATGTAAACAAAATCAGACTTGCGGTCTGAGAAGCATCATTGGAAATAAAAAAAGTCAATACTTGCAATGTCTATCCTAGAATCTAAGATCGGTATTCATAATTGTAAGTTATTTACGATCTCAGATTAAGAGCTTAATTATACAAACTCGTATTCATCGTTATTCGAATAATTGATTAATATTTTCTGTTATATGAAATAAATACATAAAATTATATGAAAAGGAATTATAGAGAATATTCTTTTTCATAGTTTGACAAGTAAACAGAGCTTTATGAAGCTTTATGAATGCCAGCCTAAATTTCGACTAGAGATATCTCTTTATTTTTCATGAAATTCGTCGAATGTTCATTAAGATGAGATTTTTTATATAATAAATAATTTCACGTATGGAGCTATAACGTATCATATACTCACATATGCTCTCCGTAAGTCTGATTTTATTTACATTCTGTCGTTATTGTATGAAATCTATGGACTCTTTAAATTTTAATTTCTATTTATTCTATTCATTCTATTAATTCTATTAGTCAACAATATTATTGGACACACACTATTGTTATCTTTATCTACTGTTATCTTTATCTATTGTTATCTTTACCTTTACCTCCTCTCTTATCAGCTCCTTTGAGAGTACACGTGCGTACTTGGAAATATACAATGTACATCGCTACTACCTTCCCAGTATCTTGCATTCTTCATTTTGGCCTCCAGATCTAGTATCCTGGCTTCTCCGTCGTGACGCTGCAGAGATTCACTCATGACACTGACACTCGCGTGTAGATACGACGATTCGATTTGAGAAGTACATATTAATCAACGCGATATCGACGAGTATCCGATTAAATCAAGAACCGACGAAATATTTTAATCTCACACGGCGCGCGAGAATTACAAGCGAAAGCGCCGACACACGTGCCCCCCGCGTCGTCCGAAACGTAATGACTCTCATTCACAGAAAGGTACGCGTCGCGCGAGAATACCAAAACAATCGACAAAAAAGGGCTACGTCATCTCCGCTCAATCGCCGGGCAACCGTCGCGCCCGACACTGAACGACCGCGCGCCCGCGAGCGATCAAAACAATCAACGCTCCCGGAACATTCCAGACCTTCGAGACAGTCAACTTGCCTTCCTGCACGGCGTGCTTTTTTTTCGAGTGTTATACATTATGATTCTCGAGTTGGGCGAGCGACCCGCATACCGACGCGAAGTATATGTGTCAGTGTATTAGTTATCAATCGCGCGTCAAGTGATCAAAATATTTCGTCGGTTCTTGAAACATCTATAACCGGTCTCTTGTCGGCATCGCGTTCATTGGCATGCGTCTTTTCCGATCGAATTGTTGTATCTACGCGTGTATTAGTGCGATTGTCATTGAGTATTCATGAGTGAGTATTTGGAATGCCACGACAAAGTGACCAGGTGTCAGGATGATGTACAGGAAAGCCGGGACGAAGGACGCAGGATGCCGGAAAGTGAGCAGCGATTCATCGTGTATTTTCAGGTGCGTAAAATCATTTATTATGGGGTTTATTACGATTGTAATGGACACTGAACAAACTTATCGAGAATAAAGATATATTCCGAGTCGAAATTTAAACTTATATACAGGGTGCCCCGCTACTACCGCATTATCTCTTAAAGGCAGATTTCTGAGATAATTTGAAAAAAAAAATCCTAATGTAAAAATGTTGAGGCTATAATACTTTTCAAGTTATAAACGATTGAAGTTGACCAATTATATTGGCTAAAGTACGCGCGTTCAAGTGTGGTAATAACACACAATGGTACAGATGCATGCACATAAGTGAGAATTTGCATAAGATATGAAATTAATTGTAAATCTCTGAAAGAAACGTCAAATGTGTGACAGCTTATTGATTCTCATAAATGTATTGTGTGATATTTTATTCATAACATTTTGACGAAATTATTAATATTTGCGATATGTTTATTTAAATGATAGAAAAGGCAAATTATTATTACATACGTTGTTGTATGAATGGAACTTCCGTATCAATATTTGGAAAAGGGACGACATGTACATGCACCTGTATCATTGTGTCTTGTACCGTACCTGAGCACGCATACTTTACACTGAGAGAAAAGACTGGTAACTATAACAAACTGCATTTAGTTACAGAAATTCATTGAATCCTTAGTAACTAATACTAAATATGATAATAATTACCAAATATTTAATAGATCGGGAGTATGACGTAATTGCATTCACAATAACATCAATTAAATAATTTAGTAATAGTTAAATATTAAATAATGTTAAATATTTAATATTAAATATATTACAGTTATGAACAGATGTTTGATAATTGTTATGAAATCGTTATATCCAATATAATAAAAAATTCTGTACGTACGAGTTCTATTTTGTTACCAGTATAAATATGTTTTGTTGCAGCACAACGAAAAATTCATTCATTTGCAACTATTACATCGTTTCAATATCTATTATTACAGATAGTTGGTTGAACCTATCAAAAATTTTGTAACTATTACAAAATCGCTTATTTTGCTCAACTATTCAATAAGTTTTATTTACCAAATATATTCTGGAAGCAAATAAATTTTATTTCTGTCAAATAAATAATAATTTATTTTACAGAACTAAATTAATTAATAAGTATTGCCATAGCTTTGGCCCGCTATATTTACGTCTATCATTTAGTAATAGTAACCAAATTTTGATAATATTTACTAAATTCTTCTCTCAGTGTAGCCAGTATAATTAATCAATTTTAATCGTTTATAATTTGAAAAGTACTATAGCCTCGCTATTTTTGTATTAGAATTTTCTTATTCAAATTACTTCAGGAATCCGTCCTTAAAAAATAATGCGGTAGTGACGGGACACCCTGTGTGTGTGTGTGTGTGTGTGTTGGCGCGCGCGCGTGTGCGTGTGTGTGCACTCATAGCCCATCGTGATTTGATAAATAATTATAACCACACGAATTTTTAATTATTTGTTGATTTGCAATAATGGTTATTTCACACAATAAGAAATATCGATCCAAACTATTAAATAATATTTTGCGAATACAAATATGTAATTGTGTTCTTACACAATCAAAAACAATTATAAATATAATCGTAAGTAATTATGAACTATATAACTAAATTTAGAGAGAATTTAATACAAGTTTAGTAGACTCTGATATTTGCATTTAATAATGCTCCTTGAATCACAACTCCCATCTGGAATTTGCCAACGTTTTTCTTTTTAGTTTTTATTTAAAAGATTAATGTTATCATATATATTATGATATAAATATCATATAATATGTTATGATATAAAGTATTTAAATATACTCCCCTTGTGTAACATTATTGAACGCAACTACTATATTTATTCTTTCAACTGTTTTTATCTATTCTGAATCTCTAAATCAAATCAAAATTTTCAACAACAATAAAAAGATGAATAAAGAAATTATAAAGGAAAGGAATTTGTCGATTTGTTTACTCATTAATATTTTTATTGAATCATTTATTATTCTCTTATCGAACATACTCTGTGGATAAGTAAGTTTCATAATTAATTCATTGCTTGAGTATGAAGATTAAATGCAGATAGAGAATATTGAAACAGTAGAATATTAAATAATTTTGAAACAAGTCTCAACATGAAGGAAATAGCGGTAAATGGTGATCATTTGTAGTGAGAAAAGGAGACAAAAGTATTATGTATCTGACAAACACCTCCTAATTTGTATCCAGCAAGTTTAACGGAATTTGCAAAGTTAATATAGACACGAAATTTCGACTCGGGCTATTTGTAGAACAAAAGGCAAGTAGAGAAAAGGGAGATCGTGCACCTGTTGTAACACCTGTGCATAATGGTAAGTCAGCGATCCATCTTACCTAGGCAGCGCACAGGCAGGCCTAAGTTATTTCCCGTACAGATGTCACCACGACACTATGCATTCGCATTTCTGCATTCTGCAGCTGCACGCGCGATGGGATCTATAATCGCGTTCGCATCGACCATTTTAACGAGTTTAAAACGAGTGCTCGGCACGACTAATTAAATTTTTATACCCCGACCACATTGTTAATTTCGTGTGTATGTGTACACGCATATACCTATATATTTATATATATATATATATATATATATATATATATATATATATATATATACATATATACATATATACATGTGTACCTTTATTGTCCCGCCGTTGTCCCGAGATCGTTTATAGGCGCAGCGCACTAAAGATAAAGAGTGCGCGTAGTTTATTTAATTTCATTAAGCCGTAATTCTCAGCGACGATCGAGTAAGATTTAAGCGTAATCGCTGATAAGACTGAATTACGGAGTAATTAACAGTATTTACGATAGTACGTAAAACGCGCGCTAGATCGTCGCAGCACCCGCCGAATGTGGCGCGATGCAACGCGACGCGACGCGACGCAACGCGACGCGCCGTATCTCTGGATATATGCCGGGTATTAAAGAATATTTTTTTGATTATTTTTCAACCACGATATACACATTTAACCCGGCGGGCTTCGCGTGTTCGCGTCTCCATATATCCGGCTACTAAACAGCCGCGCGTGTATTATCCCCCCGAAGCAACGGCCGAGTATTACGCAGCCGAAAAATATTGCGGAGCATAAATTACAAACCGGATAAGTATATTTGCAAAATACGAGCTCCCTTTGCCAACAGTACATCGTATCGCGACAGCGAATTCCCACCGCATAAAACGCGTAATATTCTGTCTTACTCGCTCCTGCTAGTTTTTATTTAACGCTTTATGGCACACCGGTGCAATTTTATAGAATTCTCATCGATGATACGAGAAACAAAAATCTCTCTCTCTCTTTCTTTCTCTCTCTCTCTTTCCTCTTCCTCTCCATCTCCTCTCTCGCACCGTGAAACGTACCGAGCCGTCGGATTAGACGTCTGTTTGTCGACGCATTATGCTTAATTTGTGTTTCGAGTTAATAAGGTTACAATTGATTATAAACGATGCAATAAGCGAAATACGCTGCGAGCTAACTAGCACGCGCATTTTTAAGCACATATTAGTCGTGCAATCCGCTGCGGCGCATGATGGATCCGCTGCTGCGTTCGTAAAGTTTGCACGAGGGGCTAATTAAAAATTTATTAAATATAAAAGGGTCGTGTGTAGGGACGTGGTTGAAATTCGGTTTAGAACCACGACAGTCTAAAAGGGAACAGCGGCAAAAAGCGGCAGTTGAAAAACTCGCTAGGAGAGAGAGAGAGAGAGAGAGAGAGAGAGAGAGAGAGAGAGAGAGAGAGAGAGAGAG